TGAAAAAGACGAACAGCTGACCAGTGCATCGAATGGGGGCTGTGTGCTCTACATAGGATGTTAGCCAAGCACACATAAACACAACAGATGCACTCTCACCTCCCTGCACCCTAAGGGGGTAGTGGGGTAGAAAGCATCCAGATTTATTGTCCTGGACCTGAACATGCTCCTTATGTTTGTAAGAACAAAGGAGGTGTGTTGTCTCAATCTGGCTGCACTGTGGACACTAAGAACCAGCATACAGCTGGGGTGAACCGACAGGCACACAGCTCACTCAACTTCTTAGCAGAGGTGAGAGCAAGGCGCAGGGCTGTCCAAGAGATAGTATTTTCAATGAGGACTGCTCCAGTGGCTCATAAGGTGCAGATATTAGAGCTACTAACACTAGCAGCAAGTCTTACTGAGGCGCCGAGAGACACGACACCGGTGGAGACCACTTGGATGGTCTGTGCGACCTCAGCGGATAGACCAGCCTGAGTCTGCCTCTCCACAGTTTTAGGAGAAAAACCTGGGGAGGCTGGTCCAACAACAGCATTGTGAATATGAAGCCTCACCCTTGTGACAGAGCCCCCCAGACCATAGGTACAGGCCAGGGCTCTGTCACTGTAGGCAGCGTCACTTTTACCAGAATGACGAACGACCGTTCCCGTCTCACCAGCAGCAAGCCCAGAGGGACCACCTCATAGACTACTGCCCTGAGGCCCAACAGCAACAGCGCTGCCGCAGCAGCCTGTGGACCACCAAGCGACACGCACAGATACGCTCTTGGAGTGTTACCGGGGGATAGGGGCCTGGACTTGTCCGGGCAGGACATGGGTCACCTCGCCCGGGTGCAAAGATAATTTTCTAGAAGTGGTGACTCCAGTGAGCAGTTCACTCAAAACCATTGGATTCTACAATCAAGTAGAGGCACAGGCATCAATAAGACGACTGACAGCACAATGCTCACAACTGATAAGATACACACCACCACCTGCTACCTACAGAAGAACAGCCCTCCACATAAGCTCAACCAACACCAGCAAAATGTTGAAAATCCACAGGTAAAGTTATAAATTAGTTAATTGATAAAATTGAAACCTTTCAGTACTGATAATTATCATCATGTTTGTCTTTCAGGTATACCTTTGGGAAACTCTGAACAGAGATGTTTCTGAAGCAAGGAGGGCAAGGAATGCCACAACAGATGCTACAGTGGAGGTTCAGCGGTACATGACTGATTCACCACTGGAAAGATCAGAAGACCCACTGGCGTACTGGCGAAACCATCAAAATGTGTACCCTCATCTGTTTAATCTTGCAAAACAATTTTTATGCTCGCCAGCATCATCTGTACCTTGTGAGCAAGTGTTTTCCAAGTGTGGAGAGGTTGTGAGCAAAAAAAGAAACCGGCTCAATCCAAAAAATGTTGAAAAGATAATGTACCTCTGTACCTAATGTTTAAATATCTTTTAGTGTTCCCCATCCCAAATATCACCCCCTGCCATAGTTACACAAGCACACCCAACCTATGCCATATTTTCCCAGCACTCTCTCGTCAACAACACAATACATACATTTATCAATTTTTATTTGTAAATAGAACATTATGTTTAGTCTTAGTGTAAATGCAATGTAAATGCTCTGTACTTGTATAGCGCCTTTCTAGTCTTTTCGACCACTAAAAGTGCTTTTACACTACATCCACCAGTCATACACATTCATACACTGAGCCTAAGTGCTCAAACGGAAAGTAACATTCACACTCACTCACTCACGCTGGCGGAACAGCCGCCAGGGGCAGTTGCAATTCAGTATCTTGCCCAAGGACGCTTCGATACGCAGCCAGGTGGAGCCGCCGACCGCCGACCTTCTGATTAACGGCCAACCCGCTCTACCTCCTGAGCCACAGCCGCCCTATGTGTGTGTGCATCAAAGAGTTTTCAAAGCAAAGATAGTTAAAAATCCAAGGGTGATCTTAGCAAAGATGCTTCAGAACTAAAGTAATTTCTCCAACACTGCTCATTGATTGATTTGACTGCAGCCTTTTTTTTCGCCAGGAGAGGTCACTGTAACTGAAGCTTCGAGTAATGAACCCATTTTCGATACAATTGGCTCCAGTGGTTCAGCGCTTCATAAAAGCTTCATTTGGCCATCACTACTGAAATGTCAGTAGTGTAGGGAGTGGATGTTGTGCTGTAAAAACAAAGACAAGAACCCAAACAAACAAAGGAAGCTGTGAGATGAGGAGGTCCAACAAGACTGACTGCTGCTCTGGCTTATATGCATGGGGCACACCGGGCCCAGGTGTGTCCCATGCCGCTGATTACCTTGCCAATCAGGTCTGTAGCCCTGGAGACAGAAAGCACAACAACAGCAGTATGCACCCTGCAGAGGGGCCGTCACATTGGGATTAGATCAATATAATGCTTATTTTTTATTTAACTACAATGGGTGGATTATTTTCTGAACATTTTTATTTGAAATATATGTATGTATTTTACCTAATACATTAATTCAAATGTACACAACCACAGAATCCTTTTTACAGTGTAGGTGACCAAAACAATTGTGTTATTGGGTTTCTGTTGCTGTAACAGCAGTATGTTGTTGATTTTTATATATATTTCAAAGTACAGAATTCAGAACAGTTCATGGAAATCACATAAATATCTTTAAAGTGCTGTTATGACCTGGCTCAAAAGGCCACAACAAAAGTTTAACAAAATATGTTTATTAAACCAAAATGAACCAAATTATGGCTAGTGCCAAAGTAAAGGTGAACAAGTATGGGGTATGAACATCAGTGGTTTCAGTCAGGTCAGGAAGTTGGTTGCATGGAAAATGTGTGTGAGGGTGTTGTAATGTAAAGAAATAATAACTATCAACTAAAGCAACATGTCCAGAAACCAAGGTAAGATGTAACCTGTGGAATGAATGACAATAAAGCGTTAAATACTCTACAGGGCAATTAGCCCAGGTGCCCAGAGTTACTGCAATCAGCTCTTCCTCTACAAGGAAGAGGGAGACAAATAGGCCACACCCACACAGGACCCCACAGAGCATCACAGTGCAATGCCATTATTAAAACTAATTAACTAACTAACTAACAATATCTATTAATCTATTCTATTAGCTATTGGGCGTTCATCAAAATTTTCCGTTGGGTTTCAAATCCAAATTAAATTCTTGTAAAAATATTAGAGAAAATGTGTTTTCTCCATAGACTGTATATAAAAAGGTTTTCTCCCAAAAGGTGGTGTGTAACACAATGAAAAAAAATGTAAAAAGCAGTGTGTCTTTCCAGAAGCAATGTCCTGGTTTCTCAGTAAAACATGCTGTTAACTGATTTATTTGGAACAGTATGTTCTACTAAAGAAATAGTGCCAATGGACAATGTGTTGTGGCTTATCTAAAACATTTGGGTTTGAAACGATAGAAATGTTTTCAAAAAAAAAAAAAAAAACTCCACAACAAACAATGTTTCACCTTAGATTATATAAATATTTATTTCTTTCATTTCAGCTCTGGTATATCCACAGGCATGCTATACATTGTGGTAAAGTGTATAGAACTCATTATGTTTAGTCTGAAAACAGTCTGTATCAAAGATAGCTAGCTTAGGTAGTTACTTGTTTTAGAGTTCCTTTACGAGACCCTCCCATCATCAGAGAGAGAATGACCAAAACAAGACAACCAGCTTGGCATTTGTTTAGCTCTCAGCCCTGGTTAAGGGAAAGCAGAGCTATAGAACATTTAAAAAAGGTAAACAACTTGAGAATTTCTGGTAATCCCTCGTCCCTCCAACCAATAAACTGTCCTTCATTTTGATCCACACCTCAGTAGATTTGAGTAAAACAGTCTTTACAACACAGTTAAACATTTCCATTGTTAATATTCCCTGTTATCTGTTGTAGATATTTCTTTTTACATGATTACATTGATACTCATGTATGTGTATTCGGGCAGGTCAAGTACAGTTTAACATATTCCTTCACTGCGGGGAGCTGAGAAGCTGAGACAGTGGGAGCAGGCTGAAGAGGAGCCATGGAGGGCGGCTTTCCTGAGAGACGACAGCGGGAGGTCACAGTTACATCCTGGGTTCCTGCACTGCTACCCTGCCAAACCGCTGTCACTAAAGATCATCCTGGGTGTGTAATACAATCTGTGATCTGTGATACAGTGGGGCATATGACTGTCTACAAAATACAGACAGGTAGTCACATCCAGTCATACAGTATTTACGCCAGGTGAGGATAGCAGCTTCACTAAAAGGAAAAGCAGAGAATATCCATTAGGGATGCACGCTGTAAATCATTAAAGCCCCATTTAGTTATGTTCACTTACTTCTTTTTAACCCAAAGAGCTCTGACAGGTTTTCGAGCTCTGAACTGTTTCCGAAAGTTAAATTTGGATTAAATCCTTTGGTTGACTATTTGACACTTTTGTGAGATACGTGTGTGTTGATTGAACTGTAATGTAAGTTCATCCATCCATCCATCATCAACCGCTTATCCTGCGTACAGGGTCGCGGGGGGCTGGAGCCAATCCCAGCTGACAACGGGCTAAAGGCGGGGTACCCCCTGGACAGGTCGCCAGCCATACATAGACAAACAACCACTCATACTCACACTCTCACCCTGTAATGTAAGTTGTTAGTTGAAAATAAATAACAAATGTGATGCATGCACTTAACTAATTATACACTGCAGATAAGTCATGTATTTAAATTCCAACCAAATATAGAAAATTTTGTGGTAAACAAGAAAGTATATTGCCACCGGTGGAGGGCGTACCTGACAACTTATACATGTAAATTGAAACACATTTAAATCCTCTCAACTTAAAATGGAACGTAATATAAATGTGGTTAAGTTCTTTTAACTTGTTAGAATAGTTAAGACTAGTTAAGGGAAGTTTTCTTGCATTTATAAAGTAATATAATTATTTGTTGTAACTCAAAGTATGAAGAAACAAGTAATAAAAATGTTTATCAACTAAAAAAACAATATTGAGACAACTAGAAGTTACATCAACTTTATGAACCTGTGAATTAAAACAAATGCAATCTTAAAGCTGAGTTAACTTGCATTTATAAGGCAGCATTTCTTCTATTTCCAAGTTAAACAAACTTGAAATGTCTTACAGTGCACCAATCCAATCCTTCATATGGGTAACAGTGCTGGTAGCATCATTACTCTACTATTAGTTATGTTCATGCAGTCGTGATCAGGCTTTGGCAATAACATTGTTATTGGGAAAGACAAAGTTAGATTGTGTATTCAGTCCAAATGAAATGACTGGCTAACCTGTGGCTATGGAGGAAGGCCTGAAGGGAATTTAGCTGTCTCATCCCAGTTTCTCCAATGTTACCTACCATAGCTTTACATTTTCCCAAGCATGTACTGTAAAATGTATCCTGTGTCCTGTGACGGACTGGCGGCCTGTTCAGGCTGTATCTTGCCCTATGCCAGCTGGGATTGGCCCCAGCCCCCTGTAAACCTGCATGGATAAGTGGATACAGAAGATGACTGACTGTACTGTAAAATCTGCAAATTTGGCTAAGTTCAATTTTAAAATTGGCAGCTTTGACCTATTCAAAGAAAAAAAATGATGGCAGCTCCTTCTGTAACTGTAAAGATTATATGTATGTCTCATATTTCTGGGCAATTTTTCCTTTCTCCTGTTCCCATTATTCCTCCAGCCAGTGGGGTGTATTTTATCTCAGACAATGTTGTGATATTATTAGTTTCCTCTTTTTTTTTTTACTTTAAAATATTGTCTATGTATTGATGTTTGTGATTTCTATGATAATGATTTGCTTTTTGACAATGTCTTGTCAGTATTTATTGAAGTCATTTTGCTTGATTGGTTGTCCTTGACTTCAGCATGATGTATTCAGTATTATACTGCCATTTTCTCATGTTTTTCCTGGTGAAGACTTGGTATTAGGATTGAAATGTGCCTGAATTCTAATAAATGTTCCAGTTATGTATGTCATAGTGTGCGGATACTCTCTGCTTACCCCTTATCTACAAAACTATTACATTTCAATTAAAAACTATATGCACAATAACAAATGGGTCAAATATGTTTTCAAAACCAGGACATCATTACTTCTCTGAGACATTTCCTGTCCTTTCCACATGTATATAGGAACCTTGCAAATATAGTGAACAATACGGAAACAATAACAGTTCAGTATTTGACAAAGCACTCTTTAGGGGAAGATGTTTGCACACACACTGAGTGAGAGGTAAGATATCTTCCCTGTACACATTAGCAGCTATTTACAGATCACAAAATCATGTGGACAAGCCATGTTAGTCAGATACCATATACACAGGATGGACTCGCTCTGTTTCAGAGTTCTAGGTAATGAAGTATCAAATTCTTTCGTAATCATTCAAGTCATATATAAGTATAAAGTATATATACCGGATATATATTAGGGGTGTCACAATTTCTTTCATTTAGAGCTATCTCTAAAAAGATAAGAGCTTTCGATTTCGACATTTTTCTCTCCACCCCTGCCTAATTTTGTGTGTCAGGTGCACGTCTGAAGAAAAAAAAACACCATGGCTACTGCTGGAGTCGGAGATGACAGAGAAAAAACTGGAACAGAATCTTCCTGCTTCCCTGAGGTCACAGGTGTGGCAACTACAGTTTGTAGGCTGTACCACACAAATCCACATGAAATTTGTCTGTAGGGCTGGGTTTAAAATATTACCAGTACCAAAATCAGTAGCCTTAAAGTGATACCGATACCAATAGGGTACAAAACATTTGATTCCTTGAGTAAAATGCCATAGTAGTAGTAATAAATAATAAAACAAATAAAAAACTTTATATGATGCCACATTTCATGACACTCACTCGCCTTTGTCCTTTAGTAGTGAGTCGCAGACCTCCTTCAATAGACGACAGTAAGAAGTAGAAAACGAGTAAGGAGTGAGCTCATACAGGTCACTATACTGCACTAAAGACTCTTAAGAAGCAAGTAAAGGAAAAGAAAGCCTGCACATCCAGCCGATCACTCTCACTACATCCAAGCGTTGACTTGATATGATGGAAGGCAATGATCGATTGGTGACAAGTGATGTGAATTGCAAATAAAACTGTACAGAGTAGTGTTAAAGGATATGAGAAGATGAAACAAACACAAAGCCAAGCTTGTGGTAATAAACTTTCAACAATGTTGAACATGCCTGAAACAGCAGCCAATGGTGAGGGGCTGTTAAAATCAGTCATGATCTAGGCTTACAAGCGCATGCAGGGACATAAGAAATACAAGAAAAGAAGAGGCATTCCCTTCTCTTTCTCTTGGTGTGTTGGTTGCGTGTTTGGCTGCAAAACCATACAATTTTTCCTGATCTGGTTACAAGAAGGATCGAATGCAGTACTTGTTTGATTGGAGACATTTTCATACTACTCAGTACTGGGCTATTTTGGACGATACGTTAAAGTTAAGAAATAAAGAGTACCAATACCCAGGCCTAGTTGTCTGGGCATAAAACCAATGATATGTTGAGCTTTACAAATCAAGACTCAAAAGTCTATCAATGGCATAGCAGTCAGTGCTGAACTTTTTTCCAAATTGAAAATTGATTCAAATTGTGACCTTTAAATCAAAAGTCTAATTGAATCATGAATTTGGAGAATTGTGACACCAGTGATATAGGCATATAATAACCATTAGCACTTTGCTGTAAATGCATATTGACTATCAGATTTCATAACACAGCATCATCAAAACATGCATAGATGAAGTAGACTGAGAACACAATGGCTGCATAACATACTGATAAAGATCACGGTGCTGCACGGAGGTGTTATCATGAAATATTAAACACATCTTTAAAAAATACTTAAATTAAACCAAAGAAAGCAGTGTTTATTTACTAATTAATAAACATGGATATTCATGAAGCTCTATCAATGAACTGAAATACTTTCAGCTTCAGCTCAGTGGAATCAGGAACTGTCCCTGTACTGGAACCAGTTCTATTAACAGGATATTTTATTCAATATGAGTGTTTGCTACTTGACAGAAATCATTCTGAGTTCTTAGATGTTGGCTGATTGTGGGTTTGTGAACAAAAATAATAACAAAAATAGTGATAGCGTAAAAAAGGACAGACTGTTGCAGTAGAATGGGAGGCACTGGTCCCATATTCAGTCATGAAACCAGTCCTGTGACCTCCTTTAAATGTCCACGAATGCTTCACTCCTCATCCCAGTCCTCCTCCATGTACCTTACACTCTCCACCCTGTCCATTAAAATGATTGGACTCAGCACAGTGTGTGTATATGTGTAAATTCAACTATATGCACACACAAGTGCTGCGTTCAGAGTGTGAAACCTCTCAATGTCCAGGTTTATTTGTAGAACTTCTGAAAGTAAAGGGTGGAGTCGTCGAACAGAGGGTTTTTCACCTCCATTTCCCCAGTCTAAAGATAGACAGAGAGAAAGGATAGTTCAGGCCATGCTTGCACTTGTGGGTCTATAGAACATGTTAAATATAACACAAATCACAGTACATACAGAGAGTATAGCAGAAAAAAATTATACCACACAACATCCATCCAGCAACAGTAACTTTATTAGTAGCATCTACTCATGTTATTCACTGTTCATGGAAGTAAAATGCTACAGTACTATGTTTTATGGTTGGGTTTCAGATCAGAGAATATCGTAAACTGAAATTTGTTTTGATATGTTTTTACTGATATGAATTTAAATAGGTTTTACATTATATTATCATTTCTACAGGAGAAAAAAAATCAAAGTTTTTGAGCTGCACCTGTAAGTCTGGGCATTCATCAAACTTTGCCATTGGATTTCGAATTACAATTAATTCTTATAAAAATATGAATTGTCACATACATCCTACAAGTTACAAAAAATGTGTTTTCTCCCAAACTAGACACACAGGTGTGCTGAAAAACTACATCATTTCAAAAGTGTACAGGTGCAACTAACGAAATTTGGATGGACCTGTAAACCTATTTGGAGAACCGTCCAAGATCTTCAAAACAGAATTAAATAGTAAACAGTTAAATTTGGATAAAGGTAATGAAACTGAGAAAACGGTGCAAATAGAGTGAGCAGGGTCGGAGGAAGGCCGATTATTTATAAGGCAATGGCTTCAACTTGATGAAAGTGTTCTAACTTTTCCTGTCCGTGTCACAGAAATCATGTTGTTGTGATTTGGCGCTATATAAATAAAATCGAATTGAACAGATAACAGTCAGATAATTGGACATCACAGTGAAGGACCACTTAGTGTCACAGCTTTGGATCAGTGTTTGGTGCTGTAGTTTTTCCAGAAGCGCTCACTGGGTCACAGTTGGACACAGCTGATTCTGTAACCACTGGATCAATATACACCACAAGATTCAGGACTTTTTCTTTAGACATTGACACTTGATCGGTAATTACCTATTTCAGTTCGCTAATTATATCTTTTCATAAAGTGTAATCTAATCTTATCTTATTCTTACACACATGTTGTTGTACACAAGTTTCTGCTTCTATCTGGCACATCCGCTGCTGAAATTAGAAATATATGACGGCTCATTTGGCTGCCAACTCCCAGTTTTCATATTCTGTAACATTTTACGTTTGGCTTAATCTTCTGCAACTTGTACAGCAGTTTTAATAGATTGCTTTAAATTGTGTTATAATATTATAGTGAACACCTTATGGACAACCAGATCCTGTTGGTAGAGGGTGTTTTACATGGGAGGTTGTGTGATGTTGACTCACACACTTGAAGGTGTCTGTGGGTAGCCATGGCAACAGCAGAGCCAGTTGGTTTTTAAGAGGAACTTGTATCAACACCATGTTGTTATGTTTTTGTGGATAAATGGCACACAAAGGTATAGCCAAAAAGAGAAGCTGCTAGTCTCTTATTTCCACAACATCACAAAATGATCCGGAAAAAAATAGTCCACACCATTGGTTACTTCAAAGCTAGATTACAGCAATTGTTTTATTATCAGTTTGCTCGAATAACTTTGTACATGTGTACAGACAGGAACCAGGAAAAGAGATCATATTTCTCCTGTTTTAGCTTCTCTGCATTGGCTTCCTGTAAAGTCCAGAATAGAATTTAAAATCATTCTTCTTACCTACAAAGCTCTTAATGGTCAGGCACCATCTTATCTTAAAGAGCTCATAGTACCTTACTACCCCACCAGAGCACTGCGCTCCCAGAATGCAGGGTTACTTGTGGTTCCTAGAGTCTCCAAAAGTAGACTAGGAGCCAGAGCATTCAGCTATCAAGCTCCTCTCCTGTGGAACCAGGTTCCAGTTTGGGTTCAGGAGGCAGACACCATCTCCACATTTAGGAGTAGACTTTCCTCTTTGATAAAGCTTATACACTCTAAGAAACAACCTGTAGAATTTACTCAATAAACATGAGGTAACAATTTTCACTCTATTTGTCTGGGTAGATATTGCCACACGTTTTGAGTATACAGTGAGGAAAATAAGTATTTGAACACCTGCTATTTTGCAAGTTCTCCCACTTAGAAATCATGGAGGGGTCTGAAATTGTCATCGTAGGTGCATGTCCACTGTGAGAGACATAATCGAAAAAAAAAATATCCAGACATCACAATGTATGATTTTTTTAACTATTTATTTGTATGATACAGCTGCAAATAAGTATTTGAACACCTGTCTATCAGCTAGAATTCTGACTCTCAAAGACCTGTTAGTCTGCCTTCAAAATGTCCACCTCCACTCCATTTATTATCCTAAATTAGATGCACCTGTTTGAGGTTGTTAGCTGCATAAAGACACCTGTCCACCCCATACAATCAGTAAGAATCCAACTACTAACATGGCCAAGACCAAAGAGCTGTCCAAAGACACTAGAGACAAAATTGTACACCTCCACAAGGCTGGAAAGGGCAACGGGGAAACTGCCAAGCAGCTTGGTGAAAAAAGGTCCACTGTTGGAGCAATCATTAGAAAATGGAAGAAGCTAAACATGACTGTCAATCTCCCTCGGACCGGGGCTCCATGCAAGATCTCACCTCGTGGGGTCTCAGTGACCCTAAGAAAGGTGAGAAATCAGGCCAGAACTACACGGGAGGAGCTGGTCAATGACCTGAAAAGAGCTGGGACCACCCTTTCCAAGGTTACTGTTGGTAATACACTAAGACGTCATGGTTTGAAATCATGCATGGCACGGAAGGTTCCCCTGCTTAAACCAGCACATGTCAAGGCCCGTCTTAAGTTTGCCAATGACCATTTGGATGATCCAGAGGAGTCATGGGAGAAAGTCATGTGGTCAGATGAGACCAAAATAGAACTTTTTGGTCATAATTCCACTAACTGTGTTTGGAGGAAGAAGAATGATGAGTACCATCCCAAGAACACCATCCCTACTGTGAAGCATGGGGGTGGTAGCATCATGCTTTGGGGGTGTTTTTCTGCACATGGGACAGGGCGACTGCACTGTATTAAGGAGAGGATGACCGGGGCCATGTATTGCCAGATTTTGGGGAACAACCTCCTTCCCTCAGTTAGAGCATTGAAGATGGGTCGAGGCGGGTCTTCCAACATGACAATGACCCGAAGCACACAGCCAGGATAACCAAGGAGTGGCTCTGTAAGAAGCATATCAAGGTTCTGGCGTGGCCTAGCCAGTCTCCAGACCTAAACCCAATAGAGAATCTTTGGAGGGAGCTCAAACTCCGTGTTTCTCAGCGACAGCCCAGAAACCTGACTGATCTAGAGAAGATCTGTGTGGAGGAGTGGGAAAATCCCTCCTGCAGTGTGTGCAAACCTGGTGAAAAACTACAGGAAACGTTTGGCCTCTGTAATTGCAAACAAAGGCTACTGTACCAAATATTAACACTGATTTTCTCAGGTGTTCAAATACTTATTTGCAGCTGTATCATACAAATTAATAGTTAGAAAGTCATACATTGTGAGTTCTGGATTTTTTTTTTTTAGATTATGTCTCTCACAGTGGACATGCACCTACGATGACAATTTCAGACCCCTCCATGATTTCTAAGTGGGAGAACTTGCAAAATAGCAGGGTGTTCAAATACTTATTTTCCTCACTGTAGGGTACCTAAATGTAAGAACTATGACAGACTAAAACAAAGTAGGTAAAGTCTACCTGTATTAATATTGCAGCCAGGTGTGTGCACGTATGTGTGCTTGCTTGAACTCATGAGCGAGCATAATCTGAAACACAACTACTTTCATATAGGCTCCGTATCTTTCATACAGTGCAGTGAGCTGCATATTGACACCCAGAAAAAAGGCAGTGTGCCAGGGAGACATCTTCACACAACATGCTGGATCATCCGTGTATCATCAGCTTTAGTCACTAGCTGCACCTTGTAGTGAAACTGACATATGGTGCAACGTTCTCTGTTACTTGGGTTAGTTAAGACTCATTAAGACATTATTATTATTATTATTATTATTACACTATTTATTTATCATTACACTTCTGTTAATACTGTATATTACTGTAAATATTCACATTTATAAAGTATTCTGATTCTGGATGCACTTACACTGCAGAGGACAGAAGAAGAACTAGGAGGGAACAAGTGTTCAGGGACCATGAAGATTTCTTGGTCCATGATGACGACTGGCTAATACGCCGATTTAGATTACCTAGAGCCTCTTTGATGTGCTGAACTGGGTCCAATATTAGACAGACCAACCCTACGAAACCACGCCAAGTAGGCTATAACCACTCTGGGGTTTTCTGGTAGCCATGTGCATCGATATTCATGAATGCTTTGTGTTGACTAATTATGGCTGAACGGGGGAGTTTAGAGGGCTGGATATGAGGCTGATCCACGTGCGCACATTTCCAGGTGGAGTGTGATTTATAAAGGGAAAGTTATTTCATCCCCTACACCTCGACCAAACATTTCTGAAACTTTAGCCCTTGATGGAGATTGTTGCTCCCTAGTGTTTTCCTTTTGACTGACCTTTGTTTCTCAACCCTCAGGATCACTGCCTACTTCCCTGGCTCCCATTTGCCTTTTGCCAGGCAGCAAGCCACACTTACCCATTCATCACTGCCCACACCATATCCTCTGTCATTATTTCCAAACGTCAACTGCCTAGGTATCTCTAATCAGTCTCTCATCTAACCCCCATACAATACAGACTTTTCATTCCCTGTCCCTGAGTCCTGCATTTCAATCTAATCTTCATAACAGCTTGTCTTCATGTGCACGATGGCTCAGATGTGGAGCCGAATATGGTATTCAGAAAATCACATGGTGGGCATTTTAAAAACATGTCAAATAAAAGCGTGCAGGTCGGGATTCACAGCATATGTAGCAAGGTTCCATGTCTGTCTTTATCTTTGAGCAACCCGTTCTCACTCCCTGACTCGTCACATCTGGAAGCAGGACCTAAAGTGGGAGCCCAACACGGATACCATCATAAAGAAGGCCCAGCAGAGGATGTACTTCCTGCGCCAGCTCAGGAAGCTCAACCTGCCTAAGGAGCAACTGATCCACTTTTACACAGCCATCTTCCAGTCTGTCCTCTGCACATCCAACAATGTCTTGTTTGGATCTGCCAGCAAAAAGGATAGGAGCAGACTACAGCGGACAGTCAGGACTGCAGAAAAGATCATGGGTGCAAACCTGCCCACCATTCAGGACTTATACATTTCCAGAGTCAGGAAACGGGCAGGAAACATCACCCCAGACACAACCTGTTCCAACTTCTCCCCACTGGTAGGTGCTACAGAGCACTGTACGCCAAAACCAACAGACTCAGGAACAGTTTCTTCCCACAAGCCATCACTCTGATGAACAGCTGATTTCTGACTCACGGTGTCAGGAACAATTCCTGTGCAATAACCCAGTAACTCTGTCTCTAATCAGCCACCTGTTTACCACTTCATTTCATCATTCTCTATTTCAGAGTTGTTCATACTGTTCATATTGTCATTTTGTATATTGTATATACTGTATACCAAATCCACCTACCTCAAGTACATAACACCTGCAATACTTATTTATTCCAGCATCCTTTGCACTGTGCTTCATCACACTGTGTACATGAATACAAGTATGCATGTATGTGTACCTTTATCCACCTCCGACATGTACTTAATAATGATAATAATTTTACTCCAGCATCCTTTGCACTCATTGTACTATTGTCTCAATCTGTCTGTATTGTTTTTGTTCATAGTGTGTGTGCTCTCTCTACTGTAGCCTGTGTGTGATTTTATTATTGTATTTTTGTATTATTATTATATTGTAAGTAAGCACATCGTGAGCAATGTACAATCCTGAGTAAAATTCCTCGTATGTGTACACATACCTGGCAAATAAAGCTGATTCTGATACTGATTCTATTTCATGGTCAAGACCCATCGGCATCAGTTTGTAACGCACTGGGGATCCCTACATCATCATAGTTCATCGCATTGGGGGAAGCCCTGTAGCATCCCTTTTTGACGGTAAAGGTAGGTATTGATGATGATATTTAACAAAAAAGACTGAGTAAGGAGGTGGTTGGGGTATATGGAGGGCCAGAACCCAGACTCTGAACCAGGAGAGCGGTGTTCGTGTCCCGTGTGAAACAGAAAGTCAACATTAAATATTTTTATTAGGTTATTATTAAGTTAGGCAAGTTACGTAAATTGGGTAAGTTACACAAGTGACGTAAGTTAACTTACGTGTTAACTGACGTACGTAGTTATTTTAACCCAACCCATGATCTTTTCCTAACCATAACCAAGTAGTTTTGTTGCGTAAACCTAACCAAGTACTTTTTGTGTCTAAACCTAACCAACTTTAATAACGTGCTGTTTCAAAATGGTGAAGTTTCGGGACGCTAGCGTTTTATTTTGAAAGTGTAAACGGATGTTACATAATTATTGTTGTCGGATGTTGCATTTTTGTTGTTGCTAAGCATTGCTAACTTGACTACGGAGCCCTAAAGTCTAAAAATGATGCAAAAGGGGTACCCAGAGCGTTAAAAAGCAACGCCAAAGGGCCTTGACCAAGCTTCAATATGTTATGAGTCGGGAGTGAGAATGTGTTGCTCTGAGCATCAGTGCTTAGTGTTGTCAACCCCTGTTTGGGGGATCAGGGTCAATACCTGGTCTAGGAACCTTCTGTTTTTATTTTAACATTTATATATCCTAAAAGTGTAACAAAAAACAGCATTGTTTTGCCTATTTTCACTTTTTTAATCTAAATTATTTTGCTGCCTCAAAAAATTAACAGTCAGATTATTTAAAGACAGCAGAACAAATTACTAACTCTGCTTAATCATAACTGTATTACTGTAATAATAGTTAATAAATATCTGTGGCTGTGAGTTGGCAGCCAGATGAACTGTCATATCTGTCTAATTTCAGCAGCAGATCTGCCAAAGTAGAAGTAAATAATGTAAAGCATCCATTAGGGGCAGCTTTGGCTCATGAGGTATAATGGGTCACCCAGTAATTGGAAGATCTTTTCCATTTCCCATTTTGAGTTTCATGTTTGTTTGATGTTTCCCTTTTCTTATTTTCATTGCCCTTTCAATTTCATCTTTACAATATAAGCTTTCAGTTTGAGAATTTCTATTTAAACTTTTACATTTTAAATGTAACTTTTTTCAGTGTCATTTTGTCACAATTTTCAAATGATCATATTACATTTTAAATTTGCATATTTCAATGTCCTTTTATTCTTTAAGTTTAATTATGACCTTATTATTTGTTATCAATTATTAAAATTTTTCTTTTTTAGTTTATCCCACAACTCCTCAGAAAGAATATTTGATTGCTAAATATCACCAACATTGTGTGTTGTTTGATGCTGGACAAGTAGTTTATCAGAGCTGTTTCGATGCCTGCTGCAGCTGGAAACAAGGTGGTTGAGTGCTGAGATTGCAGGCCACAAACTAGCTAAAATTAAGCTGCAGAGTTGGTGACACTTTTCTTTGTTTATTACATATTGATTAGCACATTTAAACTGAATAAATTACATGACTTACAATGACTGGTTATGCATAATTGTATCCTTCAATTCTGGTTAAGGGTTTCCTTTTTTTATTCAGAAATTTAGACGATTATGTTGACCTGACCATACACACAGTATAACTTTTAATAAAGATAATAATGCAAGTTATTATCTATTAGTAATAAAGAGTTTACTCACAGGTGCCAATCCAGGACACTCATATACTGTGAAATCTCCATCCTCGTTCTCCTCATCTGTCGATGCTCCTGAGTCAGGAACTTTTGGCTCATCCCTGTGTCTGCAGAGGTCAGAGGCACGCAGACACACACACACACACACCCATCATAAAATATTCAGAGGATAACACAGATTCGATGAGGCAGGGCTGGGCTCTCAGGGTGACTCACTTCTCCAGGGAGAGCATCTGCTGCTTCTGGTGCTGGTAGTGGTACATCTGGGCATTTTGGGCCAGCTTCTTGTCCCCAGACTGGAACAGAGGCAGAGGGGACAAAAGAAGGTCTGTGGTATTCATCCATATCCAGTCACACTGTTCAGATGACACTCACTTTTCAGCACGTGTCCCTACTGCACATGTTCAAGTTCTGAAACTGCTGAAAGGACAGGTGCGTTTATCCTTTTTTGGTGCTAGGCAGATACAGCTAGCTAGCTGTAAATGGCTAGTGATACCCAGCATGAAATTGTTAACAATGTTAAGCAGGTGTCCAACCCAAAAAAGAATTCAGTTGAGATATTAGGATATGCTGGTAAATTCATTTTTTGTTAAAAGAGCTCTGAGAGTTTTGAACTGACAAAACACAGATTCAGTTAATTTCAATGTGAAGGTATTCACAATAGAACAGCACTGGCTGTTCCGCCAGTGTATGAATGTGTGTGACTGGTGAATGCAGATGTAGTGTAAAAGCGCTTTGAGTGGTCGAAAAGACTAGAAAGGCGCTATACAAGTACGGAGCATTTACATTTAACTTCATGAAGCTCCTGAAAAGTCTTCTGAGAACACCTCCTCTTATAACACCTCTAACCCCTAACTTCTAACATGCACTTCCTATGCTCTTCTTCTTCTTCTATCTCCTTACAATTCACTTGTCTTGATAGCACTATTTCGTTAACTTTTACTACTATCTCTTACTAGTATCTATTGTCACTTGTAGATCTCTCACTTTATTGATGCTCAAATGTAAGTCACTTTGGATTATAGCGTCTGCCAAATGAGTAAATGTAAATGTAAATGTGGAGGTGCAGCTGGACTGGCATTTTTGCCAACAGTTGTTACCACTCTATGACCATAACTATATTACAGAACAGTCTACACCTGTTCTAAATGTAAAGTGCAAGGAGATGACTTGTGTTGTGAATTGTTGCTTTCAGGTTTGTGTATGATATTATATAGGTTAAATATATACTCAACATCAAAATGCTTTGGGCAGTGATGTATTATTAATGAGTAATTTCCAGTAGTGCCACTAGCAAGTATTTAAATGTCATTAAATGTGTAATGTGTAAGAATGTAAGAGATTTAAGAGTTTAAAACATTAAGAAAATAATTAACATTTGATTTGAACATGTGGAGAAGTAACAGTTCTGATGTTATGTCATTAAGATGTCTATGACGATAGCATGCTAACTAGCTAGCCCTGGCCCTTCCTGTCTTGTAATTCTACTTTGTACCTCAAGAAGCAATGTTCCAGTATAGTTCCGGCCACAGCCCCCTTAGATTAAGCTTGGAGATGTGTGCGAGCAGCAATTTTGCAACATTACACAAGGGGCCTTTCTGAAACTGCTTTGCTACTCCCTCTCCCTACCTTCTTCCACTCCGTATGCGCATTCATGTGGTGGGTCCACCACCTTGAGTGCCATCCGAAACCAATGATTTCTGAGTGGTAATGTGTTGTTAAACCCTCCAATGCCAAGTGAGCACTGATCCCGGCTTGTTGAATGTGTATAACACCCTTTGCCGCACGATGGAGGACCTTTCTTTCAATGTGAAATCCGTGTGACTTCGCCATTTAACATGTAGGATTTTTAACTGTTGTTTTTATTGAATCGTATTCATCTCATATGAAAATCTTCAGCCAAAACAAACCTACAGTGAACAACAGAATAATAGAACATGACACAACATGATACACAGGGGGTTCACGTAACAAGCAACAAAGGCATTAAAGAAAAATAGTTAGCCTAAGTCTTTATACATTTTAACTGTTAAATTTTTTCAGACTATATAATGCTTCAATATAATGAAGGACTTATATTGACAGGTATTTGTGAATGTAATATTTTTCATATAGGCTAAGATAAAGAGGTTCAAATATATAGGCTTTTCTTCACAATGAATATCAATCTTTTCAGAAAATATTTCTTTTTTGTAAATCTAAAGTCATGTTCTTAAAGAAATATTTGACACAAACACAAAATGAATGACAAATGCTTTCAGTTTCGTCATTGCAAAAAACACACTTTTCCTCAACATCAATAATCTTAATACAACTGTTGTTGATTTGATACACATATTATAGCAGTGAGTGCAGCGGTAACGTCTGATCCTATTTATGCTGGGGGGGTGGAGAGGGTAGTTTGTCCGAAAGTTGTCCGCTGTATTTAAACCATACGCGGGTTAGGGAGCTCAATTTGGCTGTGAGGGTGTAGTTTCGGAAAGGCTCAAGGTCAAAATAAACTCACAAAATGTCAAGAAAGAAAATTTTGTTCTGTACACCTTCTGGCAGAGCAGGTAGATGGGCTGCCCTGTACTTCATGGGCATGCTGTGCTGATCTGATATCAGCTCGGCAGTAAAGTAGAAAATAATGTTGGAAACCTAGTATTCAGAGCAGTCTGCAGCTTGAGATTTTCGCTCGCAGAGATTACTTTTACACGTTTACCTCATTGTTTGAAACTTTAGCAACATTTAATAAGAACATCCGACATTGTAACATAAACACAACAACATTTTCCACTCACCAAATTGTCAAAGGTTTGGACTCTCATCAGTCCATATACAGGGTAGTCCAGCTTTTGAGTTAGACGTATACCTTTCTGCAATCTGTAAACAATAAGGACACACCAGATGGTTAATCCAAAATCAAGAGGTATACAGCACTTAATTTCTGATGTTTCTGAATGCACTTGGAAATGACTGACATGCATTGCTGTGTCTTTGTGATATTACCAGTGGTAGACAGAGAAATACATTTTAAGTAGAAAAAAATCCCAGCAAAGCTAAATATTTCTTTTGTTATGTTTGGGATGTGTATTGACTTTGTTTACATTGGTACTTTGGGTTTTAGACTATGGAGGACTAATCCTGACAGATTAAGAAATAAATACATAAATAAATAAATGCTCAATAAATAAATAAGCATCCTTTAAATGCAAAAAATAAAATATAATTAAATTAGATGCACCTGTTTGAGGTCGTTAGCTGCATAAAGACACCTGTCCACCCCATACAATTAGTAAGAATCCAACTACTAACATGGCCAAGACCAAAGAGCTGTCTAAAGACACTAGAGACAAAATTGTACACCTCCACAAGGCTGGAAAGGGCAACGGGGAAATTGCCAAGCAGCTTGGTGAAAAAAGGTCCACTGTTGGAGCAATCATTAGAAAATGGAAGAAGCTAAACATGACTGTCAATCTCCCTCGGACCGGGGCTCCATGCAAGATCTCACCTCGTGGGGTCTCAATGATCCTAAGAAAGGTGAGAAATCAGCCCAGAACTACACGGGAGGAGCTGGTCAATGACCTGAACAGAGCTGGGACCACCGTTTCCAAGGTTACTGTTGGTAATACACTAAGACGTCATGGTTTGAAATCATGCATGGCACAGAAGGTTCCCCTGCTTAAACCAGCACATGTCAAGGCCCGTCTTCAGTTTGCCAATGACCATTTGGATGATCCAGAGGAGTCATGGGAGAAAGTCATGTGGTCAGATGAGACCAAAATAGAACTTTTTGGTCATAATTCCACTAACCGTGCTTGGAGGAAGAAGAATGATGAGTACCATCCCAAGAACACCATCCCTACTGTGAAGCATGGGGGTGGTAGCATCATGCTTTGGGGGTGTTTTTCTGCACATGGGACAGGGCGACTGCACTGTATTAAGGAGAGGATGACCGGGGCCATGTATTGCCAGATTTTGGGGAACAACCTCCTTCCCTCAGTTAGAGCATTGAAGATGGGTCGAGGCCGGGTCTTCCAACATGACAATGACCCGAAGCACACAGCCAGGATAACCAAGGAGTGGCTCTGTAAGAAGCATATCAAGGTTCTGGCGTGGCCTAGCCAGTCTCCAGACCTAAACCCAATAGAGAATCTTTGGAGGGAGCTCAAACTCCGTGTTTCTCAGCGACAGCCCAGAAACCTGACTGATCTAGAGAAGATCTGTGTGGAGGAGTGGGCAAAATCCCTCCTGCAGTGCAAACCTGGTGAAAAACTACAGGAAACGTTTGGCCTCTGTAATTGCAAACAAAGGCTACTGTACCAAATATTAACACTGATTTTCTCAGGTGTTCAAATACTTATTTGCAGCTGTATCATACAAATAAATAGAAAGTCATACATTGTGAGTTCTGGATTTTTTTTTTTAGATTATGTCTCTCACAGTGGACATGCACCTACGATGACAATTTCAGACCCCTCCATGATTTCTAAGTGGGAGAACTTGCAAAATAGCAGGGTGTTCAAATACTTATTTTCTCATTGTATAATTTAATTACTGCCTACATTTATTTACTTTATTTTTTGTGCATTTAATCGGATGCTTATTTATTTATTTCTGTATGTATTTCTTAATCTGTCAGGATCAGTCCTCCATAAGAGTTGATTGTTTTGTCTGACTAGCAGTCTTGCTAGTCAGACAAAACAATCAACTTGAATACCTCTCTCCTTGGGCTCTGAGTAATTATAGCAAACAGCAGACATTTTATAGACCAATTGATCATTTTAGTGGAAGAAAAAATAGGCAGATTAATCAGTGAAAGTATCAGCCCTAATTGAAGCTGCCCATAGTTTCAACATGGATTTTATCATTTTAATGCCCCAAGTCAAAATACTGACAAAAAAAAAAACAGTTGCAGGCTACACTTTAAAATTCTGAACAGAAGAGAGATGATATTTGAAGTCAGTCTTATGCAGTAGTGAAGAAAGGGAGGAAGAAATATCTTACCTAATCCAACAGGCCCCTGCTACAACCAAAGCCAGTGAACCAGCTATGATGAAGACGCTGCTCATGACTGAGAAGAAAGCCAAACAGACAGGTCAGGGTGAGAGAACACTGTGCAGATCTGCATGTGGCAGAGAAGGAAATGATCCCCAACTGAAAGCTCTGGAAATGTGTGTAGAGCTCAAAGAAGACATGCTGAAAATAAGTTTCACTGTGGCGGTCATGGCTCTGTACCAACAGTACAAAAAAGCACTGATGGCAGTAATGAAGTGAGGCAGAACTAACTGACAGTAACATACAAGTTTTGTTCTGTACAACCCCATAGTAAATGCGAGGTCAGTCCCGAGATTTCAGAGAATGCAGTGATAACATTTCGCCAGACAAAGGAGGTCATTTTACTAAACAGATCTAAATGTCTTGCAGTTTGAAGACCTTTGAATGCCTGCTCATGTCAAGATGGGTGTTGTTCCAAAGATTAATTTTTTTTCCACGATTGAAAATGAGGGCAGTTTAAGTTTATTTCTCCTGGCTGCTGCCTCGGGTTGATTACTGGGAAATAAAATCCTGGTATTTCCTGTTGATTTTTGCCAAAATCTACAATCTGGATAAATGTCAAATCATTATTTAACGATGAAGTTTAACGGCTGTTGCTCCTGAGTGAAAGTTTAAGAAACCAGATGATAAATTGTGGTTTTAAACTGGCAATATGTTGTTTTTGGCGGCCACTATCAGTGCGGTTTTAACATTGAAACCAGGTGTGTGCTCATACACGTGCTTCAACCATAGGCTTGAACTCATGAGTAAGCATCATCCAAAACACAACCGCTTTCATACAGAGATCCCACTATAAACGCGGACGCTGGCTGTGGCTTTTCACTCAGACATGTTCAGGCTCTGTTACTTCAACGTTCCCGTCTCAGAGGCAGATCAACACTGGCGCTGTAACGTTACTTCATTCAGTGCATCTGCATATCAGCACAATCCTCCCGTAAAAAGGCAGAATGACAGCGGCTATAGAACAGACAGGGAGAACAGACAGAACTGGAAACTCAGGTAAACTCCCACTGCAACGTTACAGTAATAGTTTTATCAGCTGCAGGTTGAACTAATCCATGCTCGTTACATGATCATGGTACATTTACTGCATTTAGCCTACGTACTACATTGTTAGCTCGTATGCTGCTTTCAGTAACTATCTTTACTATCTGTGAATCTTTCTCCGCAGGCTCAGCAATGTCAGCACAGCTACATGTACTGGATGATAATGAAACGGGCAGTGAGCTGGACTGAATATTATAACGAGACTGTGTGACACTTTATTACAGTTAGACTGCAGTAAGTAACTTTACTGTAGTGTCAGTGCATGGCCCTTCCTCTGGGTTGTATATTATGTGGGTTGCTTTAGTTACAGCGACGGAGAGGTGGAGAAGCTGTGTACCTGAGTATCGGTAAAACCGCAATAACCCTAAACTGAACATTACGAAGCAAACAGCGGCAGGTCAGCGCTACTGTAGCGTTAGCTGGCTGCTCCTGGCTGCATCACTATAGGCTAACGTTAGTAAACAAATCGCCACATTTGCTTTTTGCCTTGATCCTTTCTTGCAGGCTAAATCAACAGTGGTACACAGGATAGCAATAGGGGTCGCGTTAGTTGGTGAAGTAATGTGGAAAGCGATATAACTTTGCACCGGATAACATTAGCAACTGCTCGGTGTTAGCCAGCGAGCTAACGTGACTTTCTCTGTGTTTCTCCAGCTTTACTAAAGCTCACTTTGTTCTTACTCAACATCATCTGAACCTGTTTGGTCTGATGGGCTTCAGCACATAAACCTTTATTGTTGTTTTGGATCTTTACGTGGAGCCTGTGTTTTGCTGTGAGCCGGTTGTTTTATGGTGTTAGTGGACTGCATGTAGTGAGCTGCCGTGTTGTTGCTGTAGTACGAGAGAGGCTCGGGAGCGTGCGACCATTGTCAACCGTGGTCGCGGGGGGCTGGAGCCAATCCCAGCCGACAGCGGGCGAAAGGCGGGGAGGAATGATGGGAGGAAGCGGAGCACCCGGAGAGAACCCACGCAGATAAGGGGAGAACATGCAAACTCCAGGGCAAGAGGAGGGCCTTTTTCTTAGTCTTCCACAACCAACTTGGAAAACACTGCAGCCAATTCTATGTGGTATAGTCTACCACACTCCTGGTCCATATTCTGAAATTCTATCTGAATTTGCAGAATTTTTGTCAAGTTTAGTCCTTAAAACGGACAAAGTTATTATTGAAGGTGATTTTAATATTCATGTGGATGTTGAGAATGACAGCCTTAGAACTGTGGCTCAATTGGCTTCTCTCAGAGTGTTCAAAAACTGACTCACTGTTTCAACCACACCCTCCACCTCGTTCTGGTATATGCAGTGGTGGAAAATAACTAAGGACAAATACTTATTTACTGTACCTAAGTAGTTTTTTTCAGTAACTTCACTTTACTTCAGTATTTTTAGTTGTTATGCACGAGACCTCATTACATTGTGTTACGGCCGCCACTGGCTGCCTTAAAGTAATTGTGTTCCTGAGTGCTTCTGGCTGTCATGCAAATCCCAGCTGTGCGAGTCCCTGTCGAGGATTGGTTCCTCTGGAGCTGGGGACCGCCTACTTCCTGGTTGCTGTTCTCTGGCGTCTGTGATTGGTGTGGCTGTGACTCGACCGACCCTGCCAGCCAGGACTCTCCAATCAACACCAGCTGGACTACAAATAGGTTGTGTGTCCACAGTTCGGGGCGTCAGAGCCAATGATCAGTTTGCCTTGCTGTTGGTTGCGTACCTCTGTTAGGTAGTGAATATCTAGAGTGTTTGTATTTCCTGTTTCTGTCTGTTGCCTAAGTGGTTTCAGTCAGTTTGACCCTTTGTAAATCACATAGTGTGATAGTGCACCAAGTGTTGGGCGCTCTTTTGTCTGAGCATTGCTTGTTTGTTCACCTTGCATTATTGTAAAGCATATAGGTGCTGACCTCCTTTTGTTCTTTAGTATTTTTTGAGCAGAGTAACTGTAACTGGACAAGACCCTCTTTTGTTTCTCCTTTTTGTTGTCAGCACCTATATAGCCTCTTTTTGTTTTTGTTTTATTTTTCTTGAGTCAACTCTTTTAATTAAACCTTTGACTTTAACCAGAATTCAAGTGTCCTTTTGCCACCTTCATTTCAATCCCAAATCACTTGTTACTGTCTTACCTTAACGTACTGGGTCGTAACAATTGGTAATAGTACATTATGCAGTGTATTAGTGAAAAACAATTGTAAACTGATGAAGCCGACTTGGCACAAATCAATTTCAGCCAGCTGATGCAACACCGGCATTCAGTGATAGTCCAGAGCAGAGCTGGACGGTCCCCCCTCACTTTCCTGTCAAAGGTGAACGCAAATGTTTACAACTTTGATGAGAGGATGAAGAGGGATTATCCTTTTAGGCAAGAGAAGAGAAAAACTAAATGAGAGTGAAGCGTGGGAACAGCAGTCAGGTAAACGTGTCATCTGCAGTGTGCAGCTGCAGTGAATCTGTCTGTCCTGCTGAACAGCTGAGCAGCGCAGCTCTTGTCTGTTGTGTCTTGGTTGCTTGCCAGACTGACTGAACAATGTTGAGTGAAATACAACTATTTATTATGTTTAACGCAGTGCAGGCCACGGTGTTTATAAACTGTAGCTCAGAAAGATGACCGCGTTGCACGTGGTAATGAGTTCATATGCGAGTGCAAGAAATTTAACTCACGCATTCAGACAAGAAACATCTGTGCAGACTACTCCAGACAAGATGTGATGGCACTCATACATCATTTTAAAACAAGACAGTGAAGTTTAGTTACAACTCTGGACTAATGCAAAATGGGAAGCAGTGGATTCACATTGACTATTAAAATGTTGATTAGCTGGACAGACTGGGCAAAATACTGTTTTGAGTATAATATAATGTTTTGAAGGAAACCTGGAGGAGCCAGTTTGAATGGGCCTGATGCAGCTGATAACGTTAATATATAGAAAATATCTATAATTAACAGGGGCTTTGCTTAAGTTTGTCAGTAACTCTACTGACACTCTACTCCAGGATGCTGGATCATCAGCCAGCCAGCCATTATAAGCACAGCTGATCCACATCCAGCCTCAGCCAGTACCAGCACAGCCATGGGAGCATTGTGGTGTCAGGTGTGACTGTGCAGCTCTGTTTTTGCACTGAGAGTCACAGCCAGTTTGTGACCGAGTGGTAACGTAGCTGGTAGAGTTTTGCAATATAAACATCTGAAAACTGAAGCCAACCTTGCTTTGTTTGGGACTGTGAGCTGCACTTTATGAGAATTTAACATGTGTGGATTTTTGGTGAGAATGGTGTGAATTGAGAAGTGTTTCAGTTAGTTATGGTTTCCGCATCATTGTCTCATCTTAACATACCCAAAGTCCCAAATGAGCCTCTGTGTCTGTCAGACAGTCTGGAGGGGATTCTACTACAACAGCAGAGCAATAACGCAGACTTATCCTCCTCATATATATGAAATATCCACTCGTCCTCTTGCGACTCAGTTTTCCTTATTGTGATTCACTACAACTTATATTACTGTATTCAAACCTGTCTTGAGGGAATTTATAAAATATAGATTGTGTTTTGTAAGATCAATAGATTTTGATGTGTAGTACTTTTGATGACTTAAGTATTTTTTAAAACCAGGTACTTTTGTACTTTTACTAGAGTAGGTTTATACTGGATGACTTTTACTTTAACTTGAGGAGCCAGAGCAGCGTACTACTCGTCATTAATAGAGGAAAATAGGAACAACCCCAGGTTTCTTTTCAGCACTGTAGCCAGGCTGACAGAGAGTCACAGCTCTATTGAGCCAAGTATTCCCATAGCTCTCAGTAGTTACGACTTCATGAGCTTCTTAAATGATAAAATTCTAACTATTAGAAACAAAATTCACCAAGACCTGCCCTCAACTGGCACCAACTTATCTCTAAACTCAGGAACAGCTGTAAAACCAGAAATATGTTTAGACTGTTTTGCTTCCCTCAATCTTTACCAACTAACTTCAATAATTTCTTCATCTAAACCATCAACCTGCCTCTTAGACCCCATCCAGACTAGGCTGCTTAAAGGTTTTAACCTCAGCACTTCTTTCCTAGATAAGATCAATCTGTTGTGTTTTTAATTTGTATTTTATGTAATTGCTAAAATTGTATGTATTTCTAATGTACTGTATTTTTTTCAGCCCTATTTCTTTTTCCCTAAGTGGTTACCCCACTTGTCAGGTCGCCATTGTAAATAAGAACTTTTTCTTAATGACATGCCTGTAAAAATAAAGAATAAAAAAAGAAAAGAAAAAAAAATCACCAGGCTGTGCAACGATGTCACTCGGATTGAAAGACGTGTATTACAACTACACTTGTGTCAACAACCATTGAGGAAGCCAAGATGTTAACAAATAAAAAGCGACAGAGAACAAGATGTGTTCTGTTTTATAGAAATCATAGCTTATTGCTTATATGCAATTTTAAAGCTGCTAAGTTCATTGTTTTGCTCTGCATTTTGTTGTATTTTGTATACAACAACAATAGAGTCTCTATCATGAATCCTGAAATCTGTTGTGCAATTTTTGGTCCCAGTATTATTTGTTCTTGAAGCGTACTTAGGTAGCTCATCACGTGACATGGTTAAGCAACATTTGAGTAAATAACTTTTACAAATGCAGCTACAAGAATAATACGTTCCATATCTTAACAAGTTTGATTTAAAAGAGAACATACTCTCATTTTTTAACGCATTAATGTTTTGTCTTGCGATTTTGGCGATAAGCAGTGCTCAACGTCTGATTTTACATAGAACTACCAGTTTTCTCCCAATAAGTTAATATACAGCCTATTACAATATACATTTCAACGTTTAATGCTGTAAATAAACATGTAAAAAAAATAAAACTTTCAATAAATATTTTGAAAGTGCGTAAGTAAATCCAAAATTTTAACCCTAACCCTGGATCGTCAGTGTGCATGTGTAGGTGTAGCGTGAATGTGTGCAGTGGAGCCCCAGCTTCACTTCACATGATTCGACTATAGGCCGGACTTGACGATTCGGATTACTACGTAAATCTTTAGTCAGGGACAGCCCTACTTTTTATCTTTGTTTTTTAAATTTTGGTTGTGTAAATATAGTAACCAAATAAATCTCCCTCACCCCCAGAGCTCAGGTCAGAACTACACTTTCTTCTTTAAGCTCAAGAAGTACAATTCCAACAAGAAATAAAGTCATAGCTAGAAAATACTTACTGATGAAGGCATGGTCATTAGAGAGGTAGGGGAGGACGATGGGATCATTGAGCAAAGTGGGGTGTGGTGTGGGGTGATGGTGGTTGGAGCCATACTGGTGAACGGGACGTCCTGGCTCGTGGGCTGCTCTGCTGTAGATGCTCTGTGGGCGCCGCTGGGCTCACTGAGCTGCTTAGATTTGGGTGTAGAGATGTCCTGGGATGGTGGAGCTGAGGTAAAGAACGGAAGGTTCATCCAGTTTTTACATCAGCAGGGATAGTGCTTAATATACGGGTATATTTATATGTAATATACGGGACCTATCAAGTACCTGGCGGCCTGGACTCTGTTCTCTGTTCACTGATGATGGCAGAGAGGATGTCGATCTCCTCATCCAGTTCAGGATAAGTGCTCATCTTACCTGGAGGGACACAAAACCAGAATCTGTCACAGCCTTTAACAAAACACTGCATCATTATTCCAACCCTCAAAAGAGATGAAACGGTACTCAGAGCAGTAAGAAGATTATCACAGCTGATGTTGCCATGTATATTTTCAGGGTGTTGGCGGGGTCTTAAAAAGTAATAAATCAATTTAGCGAAAATTAAGGCCAAGTATTAAAAGTCGTAATCGCCAAGGTATTAAATTTTGAATTTTGATTTTTTTTTCAATGTGAAAATCCTGTTTGTCCAAAAGTTTATTTGCTAACAGTGTAGGTGAAGGTATTTATTTATAATGCATAGCCAAAAATACTAGACAGGCAGTGCGTAGGCAGTGTGATTGGTTTCTGTGATGTGCAGGGATCTACCTTGCGCCTATTTCAGTCTTCAAGTTCACGCCCCAAAAATTAGATCCGTGCAAACCGGAAAATGATTAACGAATACAACCGACCGTAATCTCCCACCCCGCCGGAGACTCAATGCTAATTGTTCAAAACATAGTCCGAGTGGCGACCAATAGGCGGATTAACCCGGTTGGCCGATCGCTCTTTGGCCACTTGAACAGCACCGTTCCTAAAAAACAAGAGCGAGATGCGCCACCAGCAGCTGAATCAGTAAGACAGAAGACACCAGGGAAAATTCAAAAAAAAGTTTGACGTGCTGCAACAAACTTTATAAATGTTGAACTCAATGTTCTGCATAAACGGTTATGATTAGTGACGAGTTAGTAGCCTGACCAAAATCAAGGTTGGAGACTATTATGTAGCCTAGAGCATTTTAAGCAAGTTAATGAATAAAAAACAACCCCAATGTGGTAGCTTGTTCCACCATCGTGGGGTCACAGATGAGAACAGGGACGGGGATTGCTTTGTGTGGGATGGCAGAGCCCGGTGGCGTTCGTTGGAAGAGCGAAGTGGCCAAAAGGAACGTAAGCTTGTATTATTAAGTTTAGGTAAATGGGTGCAGACCCAGTAGTCACTCTGTATGCAGCATTAGTGACTTGAATTTGATTCCGGAGGCCACGGGGAGCCAGTGGAGGTCACTGAGTAATGGAGCGACATGAGTCCTTTTGGTATAATTGGTAAAGTACCCCTTTATGGTCAGAGCATCAGCTTTCTCTGACTAAAAAAATATTTTACCATCAGTTCGTCAACCGCACGTAGGTAATGTTGGGTGAAACAGACTGACAGGCATGATTTAGCTAGCTTTTTGACCATTTTGACCAGCAAGAGACCAACTGTAAAGACAGTTAAGACTATCAAAAGGCAAGCAGCCATCACAATCTGCTTTCATCAGATTTCTTTAGCAGGAAAATGATTTTCTGTCATAGAAGCTAGTGGTTTAGTAGTTCTCCCAGAAACACATATATATCAACAGGCGCAGAGCTGATGGCTCATTGCAGAGCGGCGAGGACTTCTAGTGGGCCCTTATACAGTGGCCACTTTTTTTTCACACTTCAATTGCTATGACAACCAGAGAAAGAAACCATAATACAGCAGACAGGCTGCCCGCTGCATTCACACCTGTAGTTTGGTTCATCTTGTCTGGAAGAAGACAAGGAGAAAAATATTATAAATTATTGTATTTTAGCTCTAGACGTGTTGTTCACACTGACTTTTTACAAACGAACCAAAAGGAGTAAACATGAAGTTGGACAGACTGACGGGTAACTCGTTGATAGTTTTGGTAATTGTCATCCTGCATCATCAGTGACAGTTTATGCAGAATGTTAATGATTCTCATGTGTAGGCATATTTAACTTCTTTGGTGTCACAAAGAGCTCACAAATAAATAATTCATTATAAGCATTAGCCTATTAGTATTATTAGACAGCAAATCGACCGCATGTTGTGAATAATGATCTAGAGACAGGACGAAGAGAGGCAGTTTGTACAGAAATGATTCTGGACCTATTACTATTGGATCGCTGTCCCAAACGCTTTAAGGGACTTAATGAACTGACAAAGTACATGCATTTAACAGGTGTTTGTCACGGCTTGAGTGTTATTTCCTGTTTTGTTCTTGTTTGGGCATGTTGTGATTTTGGTTTTCTGGTTTAATTTCTGTAATTTCTTTCTTTCTTTTGTCATGTCCTGGTTTGTGTTTTGTTTCGCATTTGTTCCATGTGTGGTGTCAGTCCTGTTTCCTGTTTGGTTCAAAATATTTGTCTCTTGTCCCTGACTCTGCTTCTTGTCTGTCTGCCCTGATTGTCCTGCTGTGTCTCAGCTTTGCCTGCCTGGTTCTTTTGTTTTTCTGTGTCAGTCTTTAGCCCTCAGTCATTATTGCATTCTGGGTGTCTTTGGATTATTCTGTTGATCATTGGCCCTGTTTAGAGCTGCAGTTGCGAGTAAGCCTATGTATTTCTGTTTTGTTTTGGAATAAATCACTAGAACTGCATCCTGGTCGATTGTGTCTACATTTGTGTCCAGCCACCTAGTTTCCTGCCTCTGCATTCGGCAATGCCTGACACTGTTAACCTGTTATGGGAAAATGCATGATAGCGTATTAGGGCCATTCTAGATAAAACAAAAATACGGAGGAGTGGAGACATCGATATATGGAACATGATACGGTTCAGCTTGCTTTTCATGGTTATAAATATAACTGTTGCGCTATGTCCACCCCGTGTAGCAGCAAAAACAAAAACAGGAGGGACATGATGAGTGGAAGATAAGGGTGTGAATCATAAAATTCTGTGGCTAGTTTGTTTTTCTTTCATGTCATAAGTGAACCGCACCTGAGCTCAATAGCCTAAACAACAGGCTTGATAGCAAAACGCAAAACTCTTTTGCAGCAATGACACACAAATAAACTGTATTAAATATATTCAACTAAACAACAACATTACATGTTCAGTAAGCCCCTTTAATCTGTGGGCCCGTGGTGGCCACCTGTCCCTCCGCTGCTTAAGTCTTCATAAGAAAACTGCAGGTCAAAACAGGTCTTTGGGACTATGAATTATTGTGTATCCACAAATATGAAATTGTTTAAAAACAAAATGAACCTTAATTGATTATCCTAATGCTTAAATATACTGCAAAGATGAGAATGTATCAGAAAGTTGGCACATAAAGTACATAATGTAGGGTGTATTTGATAGAACTGGTAGGGAACTGTATTTAAATGTTTCACTTTGACAGAAAATATGACAAGAGAAATCATCTTATGATTATTCTTAATTTTATTTCTTTATTTTTACCCTTTAAGGAATTATGAACTCATTTTACAGAGATACTAGAATGAATAGCCATGGATGCGGGGAGGGGCCCATATAAGTAGAGGGCTCAGATTTTTATTATATTGTGATCATTATTTTTAAATGTACACAAAATGATGGGAAATTTGAAAATGTTCTGGATATGCTTTATGTACTGTTATTTGTTTAGAAACATTTAGCATGATAGATGTTGACCTTTGGTTTTAAGGTTGGACTCGGCCCTGCTCAAAGAGTGGGTGGGTAGCAACGAGGAGATAGAGGGTAAAAAAAGACAACGACAGGGAAAGAGGAAGATAGTGGAGTGGGTCAGCACCGGATTCAAAAATGAAAACCGGTCATTTAACGACGGTCATTTTCAACAGTTTTTTTTGACAGTGGACCACTGACCGCTGAAATATTGCAGCGAGTAATCAGGAGCAGCCACAGTGAGCTGTTAGAGGAAGAGCTGCAGGCGACAGGCTGCACACCTCCACCTTCTCAGCTCGACTGTTTGTAGACTCATGACATGACGATCTATTTGATTAATCGTTGCAGATCTAATACACAGGGTATTGTGTACACACCCTTTCACTGCGTTTTGTGTGCTTATAGAGGTTTCTCTTGCCTTGAAAATATCCAAATAGTATTTCTGTCCTTTTAGAAACAATTCAGACCTGAGCAGAAAACCTTTGAGCAAAAAAAAGACACTGGAGAAAGAATAGCAAGAAATTCCAGAGGTGGCAGAGTGGAGGAGGAACAAAGAGAGGATGACTAATGAGGTGCAGTACACCGTAGTGGGTCATTCAGCTGGCAGCAGGACAGTCAGGACATGAGTCAGTTGGTCAGTCTGTTAGTTAGCCTGTGAGACGACTGACAGGTAAGTCCTGCTTGGCAGAGACTCCAGCCTTTCTGTCGGAGTGGTGAAGGAATTGGGGTTGAAAGGCGCTAAAGCCTATATACAGTAATCCAGCCTCTACAAGCCTCTACATATTGGCGCATAGCCATTTCAATATTTCAAATTGTTGACACGTACATGTTTCTTCCCTTTAAGAAACATTGTCAAACTCTGGTCTGTTGTCTTACAACCTGAGCAAAAGTCATTCATTCATGCTTTTATATAATCCCAGCCAGACTACTGCAAATTCCGTCTTCACCTGCCTCAGCAAGTCAACTGTCTACAAATGATAGGGCTGTTGACCAGGTCCAGCAGGTCGACTCACATCACACCCACCCTATCGCCTTTACAAGGGCTTTCTGTCACATTAAGGATTAACGTTACATTATATTAACTGACATGGTCAGGCACCTGTGCTCCATCTGACCTGCTCTATCCTTGTATCACCAGTAGGTATTTTAGGTCATCTGACCAGGGCTTACTTGTTGTTACTTTACACCAATTCATGAAGGTGATACGTTCTGGTCTTGTCTGGCAAGTTACTATCAGAGAAATTAGTTTGCAGATCTAGAGATGTCTCCAGAGAGTTTATTTAAACCTCCCCATGGACCTCCATAGAGTTGTAAACAATGATGCAGTCAGTTTGTGAATGTGGGAGACATTCATTGTGATCACTACACCTGACTCTTCTTCTCTTCCTTGCGTGGACAACTACATTGACCGTGTGGGTTCTGCAGCCGTTGCAAAATGTACTGTTGAAAATCTCGGTAACCCATAATGTCCTGTAGAAAATATGGGCAGAAATGTGTGTCACTAGATACTAAATGATTTAAACATGAATTGCACAACTTGAAAAATAGCATTGAAAAACTGAATCTGATAGCATTATTTAAAATTGAATGTATTAGTTTGGATCAAATTCCAAAAAACTTGAAATTGAATGTAATATGAAACTGAATTCAGTTGCTCTGTATTTAATCCGCACTATAAATTTAGGAAGTTTTGCGTGTCTGTAAACAACTATGTCTCCTCGTTCTGTCCAGTTAAATATGGTGTGCCTCAGGGGTCGGTCTTAGGACCCATTTTGTTTTCCTTGTATCTGCTTCCCCTTGGACATATTATCCATAAACATGGCATTTCTTTTCATATTTATTCTGATGACACACAAATATACTTGCCCGTCAGATCCACAGACCTGGAATGCTGAGTTCACTTAACAACTGCCTTTGTGAAGTTAAAAAATGGATGTCAAATAATTTCCTCCAGCTGAACTCAGACAAAACAGAAATCCTGGTCATCGGGTCCCAGCAGATGGAAAAGCAAATACTGCCATCTGCTGGTTCGCTAGTAAATCACATTAAGCCTGTGGCAAAGAACGACTGAAAACTAAAGGGGACAGAGCGTTTGCTGTCAGGGTCCCGAGGCTCTGGAACAGCCTGCCCGAGGAAACCAGGTCAGCTGAGTCAGTGAACTCTTTTAGTCCCTTCTTAAAACATACTTTTATAGGAGAGCCTTTCCCGATCTTATCTGACTTTATTTTATCCCTTTTATTTTATTGTATTTTACTAATTTTATATTTATCTGTATTTTAGTCTTTTCAATGTTTTCATGCTTTTATCTTGTATTGTATACTTGTATTGTTTTTTGTATTATTGTGTCTTGGGTATTATTGTCTTTACACTTGTTAAAGCATTTTGTAACTTGTTTTTGAAAAGTGCTCTACAAATAAGGATTATTATTATTATATTATAAATTCAACTCTCCATATATTTTCACATTCACTTCTCACAATTCAAATTCACTTCAAACTTGGAACCTGTAACTTTTGCCCTTTTTCATGTGCTTTACTGTTTTTATTTAGCATATCAGCCTGTTGAACTTGATGTTAGCACATTCTGTTTGGGTAGAATCTATTGTAGGCCCACACGCTGACTGGAGAATTGTTGAGTTTGTAACATTAAGGTACAGTCAAGACAAATTGTGTAAACATTAAGCCTCATTTGAAGCCAATTCAAATACCAGAGTAGCCGTTTGGGTGTTTTTTCACGTTGCTTTTTGTGGCACAGGTGTCTTTGTTATTAGCACCCCCTTCTGCTCCGTGCTCTTTTCTGTTTAGTTATCATTGCCGGTATGTGGGTCTGCACCATTACCACGCTGGTGTACGCCTGCAGTGTGCCGAGTAGGCAGAGTGTGCACAACATTTACAAGGCGTCTCAGCCATTAACATTAACACGCCTACAGGCCTATGCAGGTGATTGCTGGTATAATTCTTTCAGTAAACCTTGATCGCTCTGACAGTGCCATGCTTTGTTGAAGGTGTCACCTCCTTAAATGTTTTCCCCTCCATTTAAGAGACTGCTCCTCGCTTTCCCGCTCATTATCACTTCTTGCTGGATTGTGCCCCGGATTAAGGAAAAGGAGCACAGAATTGTCACTAATACAAATATTACACAAGTGTATCTGTGAATCACAATGTCTGTATTAGTCTCAGCTTGACTTTCACACACTGCCCAGTGGGCCACTATAGCTTTTGGGTATGCGCATGTTAGAAGGCTTGGTGCTAATCATAATCACACAACGTTCCCAAGCAAATGACCATTAGTTTTTCACGTATACCACGGGTCTTTCAGATACATTTACATATTCATCAACAAGGCCCAGCAGAGGATGTTCTTCCTGCGCCAACTCAGGAAGCTCAACCTGCCGAAGGAGCTGCTGATCCACTTTTACACAGCCATCATCCAGTCTGTCCTCTGCACGTCCATCACTGTCTGGTTTGGATCTGCTACCAAAAAGGACAGGAGCAGACTACAGCGGACAGTCAGGACTGCAGAAAAGATCATCGGTGCAAACCTGCCCTCCATTCAGCACTTATACATTTCCTGAATCAGGAAACAGGCAGGAAACATCACTGCAGATCCATCTCACCCCGGACACAACCTGTTCCAGCTCCTCCCCTCTGGTAGGCGCTACAGAGCACTGTACAACAAAACCAACAGACTCAGGAACAGTTTCTTCCCACAAGCCATCACTCTGACGAACAGCTGATTTCTGACTCACGGTGTCAGGAACAATTCTTGTGCAATAACCCAGTAACTCTGTCTCTAATCAGCCACCTGTTTACTGGCTAACACTTATTATTTATTCACCATTCTCTATTTCAGTGCTACTCCTGCATCCTTTGCACTCTGCTCACTGCACTATTTGTCAATATGTCTATATTGTTTTTCTTCATAGTGTGTGTATATATATATATAAGTCTGTGTCTGATTTATTTTATTTTTATTATTGTGATTTTGTATTTTTGTATGAGTAAGCACATAGTGAGCAATGTACAATCCAGAGTCAAATTCCTCATATGTGTACACATACCTGGCAATAAAGCTGATTCTGATATGGCACGATAGCCACGATAATGCCAGGTTCAACAGGCTAACATGCAAACTATATATTCATAGTTTTCAGTCATGTGACATGCGCGGTGACCCGGAAGGACAAAACAACAGACCAAGATAGCAGCTCACACCTTACTCCCTCGTAGAGACGCTGCAAAAGCCGTTAAATTTTCTTTGGATCACCTCTCAACTCAAGAAAAAGACAGATATGGACACAAACTGCAAGTGTTGGGCACTTGCGATCCATATACAGCACCCGCTGCCGTATTTCCGCCGTTAAAAACCGCCAGGTCCCTGCCAGCGCTCGACTGTGGTAATGTTTACGTTGACTTTGTGGGGAATCCCTCACCTAACACAGCTCAGGCTTGTCTCCTTATTATGGGGCGGCTGTGGCTCAGGAGGTAGAGCGGGTTGGCCGTTAATCGGAAGGTCGGCAGTTCAATTGTGGCTCCCCTGGTTGTGAGTCGAAGTGTCCTTGGGCAAGATACTGAACCCTGATTTGCCCCTGGTGGCTGTTCCGCCAGTGTATGAATGTGTGTGAATGCTAGTTTCCGTTTGAGCACTTAGGCTCAGTGTATGAATGTGTGTGACTGGTGAATGCAGATGTAGTGTAAAAGCGCTTTGAGTGGTCGAAAAGACTAGAAAGGCGCTATACAAGTACGGAGCATTTACATTTACATTCCTTGTCGATTAGTGCATCCGAAAGCACAAAAAACATTTTTGGCAGTCCATCACTTGCTTCCTGGTTGGCAGGCAGTGGAAATTAATGGGTTTTTTTGCCCTCCAAGGGAGCGTTCTCCTTGGAATGTGACGTCACGTGAAAACTATGAATAGTAGGGATGTGCATCTCTATCACTGAGGCCGATGCGATATGCATCTCGATGCAATGCCAACGAGTCAATACATTAAAGATACATAGGAAGCATCTACCAATGCGGAACAATACGATTCACCCTTATTTACTCACATCATTACATTACGTTACATATATTCATTTAGCTGACGCTTTTATCCAAAGCGACTTACAATTGCTATTTTATGTCAGAGGTTGCACGCCTTTGGAGCAACTAGGGAGTAGTGTCTTGCTCAGGGACACACTGGTGGCTCTCAAACCGCGTCTGCCACTGGCAGCAGCAGAGATGAGCGCATGTACATAGGATTTTACCGATTCAAAGATGTTAGAAACGATACATATTTCATCCCAAATTGTAACTGATGCACACTTTTTGAATCGGGCCAATCACATCTTGAACCTTCATGCCGGTGCACCATGCAAATCGGTGTGTGTTGAGTATAGCAACATAAAAATTTTAAAATGTACAGGTTCCAAGGCAACAATCCATCCTTGAGTTTCAATTTTGAAGTGAAGATGGCGCCATGGAGGACGGCAGCCTCTGGTTTAAGCTCCATAGTGCTTTTTGTGTTTTTGTTTATTAATTCTGTTTTCTGCTGTACCTCTCTGATAATTTTTAAAAGAAAAGAGCTCTTAAACATCAGAGTTTCAACTGCTCACACTATTCCACCTGGCGAATGTCCACTCTCTCCAACAAAATGGATGAACACACGCAATTTAGTATTCTTTATTCGGAATGTTAGTAAATCGGGCCCATGGACTTCTGTTGTGCTGATGGTGTTTTGAAAAAAACTAACTCAATATTGTGTATTATGAGTTGTTAAACTGTAAAAGGCCAGAAAAGTTGTACTGCATATCTAGCCATAGTGGGGGCTCACTACTTACCTTTAGTGGCTTGAGCTGAATGAAGAGTATGTCTCCTCTTGACCACACAACGGCCATGGGAGTTCTCCACCAGGGGGCGCAGGCAGGGGCCGCAGTGTGAGCTGCCCTGCTCGCAGAAGTGTCGTCCTGCCCGGGCACAGTCTAAACTCCGAGGGCACAGATGAGATCCTGTGAAGAAAGACACGACACAGAATAACTTTTTTTTAAATACTCGGATTTTATCTAGTCATATTTTTTTCAATCTAACTGTTCAAAATTGTAATTTTACATTTTTACAAAAGAAACAATCAATCCATTCCTAGTTTTCTTTTGTTGTTGTTGCTTTTTAACGGAATAGTTTGACATTTTTGGAATGGTGGATAAAATAGGGTCAGCTGGGTTTATCCACCATCACCCCTACAATACTCTCACTGAGAATCACTTGTTGTTTTGGTTTGGCGTTTAGCCTACTACTCACAGTGATTTCTTAGTTACCACAGAACATCTGAGCCAACACCAGAGCACAGGCAGGAATAAAGCTGGACTCATCATCCTGCAAGAGCTTTGGAAGTGCTCCTAATTACCACAGGAAAATAATTAGACCCAGCTATCAACCCCTTTAGATTATTCATCAGAATTGCTCTCGTCTCTGCTACAGGAACCTAGACACTGGTTGCCATGATAATTACCATGGCAACTGAGGAGGTGTGACATCATCAGGCGGTGAGTCACTGCACAGATGCAAAAGTCAAGGATGGGAGGTTTGTCTTAGGCTGGTGTGTCAGGTAGAAAAAACAGGGAAGACAAATGCATAGGGAAAACGTAAAGGACAGCTATTATTAATATTTTCCTTTCAGACTATCATGACTACTGTAATTCTAAATACTGAAAACAAGTAAAGTTGCACATTTCTATGGAATTATGGAGGACTGCAACCCTTCTTTGAAGCATTCTACAAAAACATCTCATTTGCAGAGTGCAAAGCTCTCCAACATCCACAGCTATTTGAAGACTAAATTTAGGATTTGACACATACATTTTTGCACAATGAAATGAGCCATTCTCAAATGTTGAAGACGTTTTGCTACTTGTGTTTATATAATTGCCCTTGCTACATTTTGATCATTGCCATGACTAAAGTAGCTATCAAACTGTACACCTCATTCATCCACACAGTGGCCTGTCCTGGCAGACTACAACAGCAGCGGCTAATCTATGTAAAACATTACAACGGGATGATAGAGAGTAGAATGACTGGGACAATATGCTCCCCTGTTTCTTTCAGCCAGAGTATAGACCACAGAGATCCTGTATGTCTGAGGTGAAGTAGCTGCACTCTTAAGTTCCTTTCCACAACCAAATTCAAAGCCAAAAAAAGAGCTGAAACAAATAAATGTCTACAGGCATAAGTACAACCTAAGCATAATGAAAAAGTACTTTGCATCTACTTTCTGCTACTCATCTACATCCATCTACTGCAGATGTGTAAGCACCAAACCTTGACTCAGTGACTTTAAAGATGGTGAAATGCAAAAATCTCCAACATGAAAAACAATAATATGATTGGGTGAAAATAAAGTATGTTGACTCAAGTACTAATAGCCTGATAATAATCAATCACAAGTCACTTTATTTTACTTATAAGTCAGTCTGACATGTTCACATGGTAACAAATCTAATGCAAGCACTGTCTTTCATAAACCAAGACTAGTCAAACCCTAATAGGAGATCTTGTAATGTTTTGTGTTGCACAAACCTGCATAATAGAAAACATGTATTGTAGTGTACCAACATGAATTAAGTCAGTTCTGTGTATACCTGTTGCACTTGGCAAACAAAAGAAGTGAAGGTGACTTTTTTAATTGCATTGCTTTGAATACGTCCACATATAAATAAAGCTGACTGCAGAGCAGCTTTATCATGGCAATTTCAAAAAGCCTGTAATGTGCATTAGAGCATCCACTATATTAGGCGTCTCGGAGCGTCAGTGACATTCCCAGTATCAAATCCACTTTCTAATCTGACAGTTTCTTAGCAACACCTTGTCCTGTGTTTGAAAGAAAGAAAAGAAAACGTGCATTCTCTCTTTTCTCTTTCACTTCATCTCAAGGCTGTACTGAGTCACATGTCCTTGTTCTGGATAGGGTTTGTCAGATGAATGCTTTTTAAGGCCAATGCTGTTGCACATATTCCATGTCTCAACTCAGATTTGACTCCTTCCAGGTCAGATGGGCAGCACTGCAGGCAAGAATGGTGGTTTATAAATGCCCAGTATTTCATTAATGCATCAGTCTAAAACTACACTTAAAACATCTTCACATGATCTCATTTGTTAAAAGCCTTCTTTCTAGATCCTAAAGCTGCACTAATCAATATGGTCAATTTAACAATGGATCAAATGTGTAGCAAGAGAGAATTATCATCCAACTCTCATCTTGGATTTTGAGTTCAGGGTTGTGACGCCCCCTTAAGTCAGATTTCCGACTCAGAAAGTTAGGAGAACTTCACCACCCCTGACCTCGAAATCCAAGATGGCTGCTCCGAGCATCACGAGTCTTTGCAGTCCCTGCAGTGTGGTGGTCCTTCCACATTATAGAAAGTAGGAGTGCTTCCTAGTATTAGCTGACTTTCTTTTGTTGGTCCAGTTGTGATGATGGTAAATGACCAGACTGTCAAAACATATGTTTTATTTTACACCAATCCATCAGCAGTATCTTGGCAGCTGACATAAATTTTAGTCAATACAGAAGTTTGTGCCCATTTAAGACTCCTTGTTTTTGTATGTAAACTTATAAGAAGATTTACAGCTACTGTATGTCAATCTCAGCCATTTCTGTCTAATTTCAAAACTGATCAGTCACCTGAATGCCAATGATCTAGTTTTTTCCCCCTATTTCTCTACTGTGCTGAATTTTAGTGATGAATCATATTGAGAAGGAGAAATCATATTGAATGCATGGAACGGCTCCCTTCACTCAGCAGCTCTCGCATTCACTGAGATGGAAATGTCAGGCAGTGGGGAAACTTTGATGGTGAATGTCTTCTCACAGCACTGACAATGACACTACTGACAACAACTACTGACAACACATAGCAACTGCGATGCATAGGATCATTTCATGAAAATGCAGTTTAAAGTTGTCAGGATTGCAGAGTGCACAGGCAGGTAAACTTAGAGGTTGATCATTGGTGATCATTCCTGTGTTTAGTCCAAATGGACGACAATAAAACATAGTAAACACGTAGCCTAATAAGTTGGACAATTCGCTAAACTGCACTAAAGTCTCTAATGAAGCAAGCAAAGGAAAATAAAGCCTGCGTCTCTCCATGAATCCCCCATGGGCGGGACTAAGACGCAAGCGAGAAAAATGTGGAGGCAATTAAGAGATTTGAGAAACATCCACAGACTGAACAGAACTGAGGGCTTAAATACTGACACAGGACAACACACACAAGGCAGGCAGGGTAACCAAGCACAGGTGAGAGACATCAGGGCAATCAGGTACTGTTGTGCAGGAATATTGATATGTTCTACCCCTTACACACACACACACACACACACACACACACACACACACCATCACCACCACAAACATAACAACTTAAACACACATTCTTTCACAAACACAAACAGGGCTAGAGTTCATTATTTTCTTGATTTTCTGAAATGTACCTTTCTGTTTTCTTGATGATACTTTAGCAATAGTCTTTTGTTACACTGAATGGAATTGAAATTGAACTGACCCCTGCTGGCACTTCTTTTCAAGTGAGATGGTCAACCCCTTCACATTTGAACAACAGCATCATGACATTTAATACTGCCAGAGTAGTCTTCAATGAGAAACTCAGTGGGCTCCCAAGGCCATCGAGGGCATGGTTCCTGTGTTGTCCCTGCCAAACGTCCATACGGATGGACAGATGGACAACTTGACACTCACAGCCATGTTGTCTAAGTTCAGTGCACTGTGGGGCTTTAGAGTCAGTCACAGGCATATGGGTGTCCTCAAGGCGCAAGAGAGGATCACTGCTAAAAATTAGACGTGCATGACAGAGAGAGATTACATCTGCTCAGTATGGGTGTGCTAATGATGCTGATCCACTCCAGACACCCAACACACAGTGCGCAAATTTCAGAGCAGCTGTTGTTTAGAAATCTAGGTCTCTACTGTATATAAACCTTCTGTTTTATTCAAGTAATTCAAATAAAATAGTTCAACATGGGAAATACACTTCATTTGGTTCAGAGTGTGATTAGTCTAGCTTAGCATAAAGATGTATCCTTGTTTCATTTGTACAGAAATGTAACAAACAGCACAGACATTTATTTGAAAAAAAAAACACGCCACCCAGGTTTTCTATGCAGTGTCTCCAGCTATAACACAGGTTGCCAGATATAGTCAATGAGGCATGCACAATGGTACCAATCCTAGCAACCTCAAAGGCAGATGACTGGCTGCTGGCTATAAATTGACATTTTAATATGTCTATTTGTGCATATATCAAAAGGTCCCATATTATGCTAATTTTGACATTCATACTTTTAATTTGGGTGTCTACTAGAAAATGCTGACATGGTTTAATGTTCAAAAAACACATTATATATTTTTCTCATACTGTCAATTACTGCAGCATCTCTATTCACCCTCGGTTTGAACATGTCATTTTAGCTCCTGTCTCTTTAAGGCCCCCCTCCCTAAAAGACCACTTTCTTCTGACTGGCCAACTTCTGGAAGCCTGTTGAGGGGCAGGAACTTCTGGCACAACACTAAAGGTCTGTTAATGCAAAACTAGACAGGAACCAGTGCTTGTGGTCAGCACTGCCTCATCATCTTGCTTGTGTGTTAAATGACATATGGAAAATAGCTCTATGGGGCACTCAATTTGATAAAGTTTATTATATTTATCAGACCACAAACAAAACAAGAACTAGGTTGGAAAAACCATAGATGCTGAACAGGAGTGCAGTGTTTCTGGGGGGCCAGGCCTCACTGATTACAGTACACAAACTTTATTTCTTTATACATTGGATTTTAGATTATATTTTATAGAGAAAATATTTTGTGGTAAAACCCTCTGACATCCTATGTCTGCTCTTCCACTTTCTGTGAATTACAGAGTTATCTGATGGACAGACAGCTTTACTTGTACTTTAGCCACTAACTAACTAACGGTAAGCTAGCTCAGTTAGC